CCTCTTCCCTCCTCATCCTCCTCCTCGTCCTCCTCTTCCTTTGCGGGCGCGACGGGCGCCTCCCACCGACGTGGCCGACCGCACGGGGCAGACGGTGCTGCACTGGGCCGCGTCCACGGGCTCCTTGGATGCCGTCGACTACGCCCTCGGGAAGCGCGCGGACCCCTCGCGCGCCGACGCGGACGCGCGCTCGCCGCTCCACATCGTCAGGACACAACTCCGGGGAGGTTGCAGCTGGCTCGGGCTGTTTTTCCATTCCAGGACTTTCTGAGGGTTGGGGACGACGTCGGGGGTGGTGTGGTGTATACTTGTTTCCCCGTTTCCCCAGGGAAGCAACGAAAAATGTATATACCAGGATCCTGTATACACCAGGATCCGCTTTCCTGTGCAAGTTTCAGTGCAGGGCTGGAAAAAGCGTCGATGTATAGAGTTCGTTTCCCTGATGAGGTGGCCCAGCAGTGGTTCTGGCCAGCAGGAGGGAGGGGGGGGCGAGGCTCGAGGCTCTGGGCTCGAGAAGGTTCCTGGTCTTTCCTTGCAGGGGCCGTTCTCAGGCCCCAGGACCGTCAAAAACGCATACGGCATGGATCGCTGCACCAGATGGATCCATCTGGGGGGTCCGGGACCAGATGGACCCCGGGAGGGGTCGGGGACCCCTTTTCCTGACCGATCTTCCTGGGGCCCATACACTTCAGACGCTCTGGCCGCCTCCAACCTGGGAGGTTCGACTCAGCATTGAGCATTGGCGCTGGTACATCCGGCATGCTCCCGTCCGGTTCCGCTCAATCCTGGCTTGTCCAGCTTAGTCCGGCTTAATTGGCAACGTAACCGTGGTATGGCTGCCTAGTGAGGCTTTCTGGCCTGTAAAGACCTCCCAGCAGTTGCCTCCTTAAAACAATTAGCGGGCGAAGAGCTATACAACACAGGTTTCTCCGCTATCGGGGGGTGCCCGTCCCAGGGTGGCGAGGAAGTTTACATATTCTTGTATCGTAGCACGTCAGTGTGTGAGCTTTCCCGCCGCTCTGGGACGGGCGTCCCCAATGGTGGAATACGATCATTTTATACAGCTTTTTCGTCCGCTGACACATCGCCGCGCTCAGTGGCCACGGCGCGGCCGTGGATCGGGGAACCCAAAGATGCACGAACATAACAACTTCTGGAGGCCCGCGCGGATTTGTTCGATTGGCGCTGGGCCCCCCTCCCTGGCGCGCGGGGCGCGCCAGGGGCGGAGGCGCCGCCAGGGTCCGAGGCGGGAACGTATCCACATCCATCGCCCGGAGGGTCAGTTTTCGGAGTCTCGGCAGGCGGTGGATTTGGACATCTTCAGGCCCCCGGCGGGCCGAAAATATATCCAGATCCACCGCCCGCTGGGGCACCAGGACGTCGGTTCCCGGGCGGCGGATGTGGATACATCCCCGCCTCGCACAGGGCGCTCCAGCGCCGATCCGAGAAATCCGCGCGGACCCCCGCAAGGTTTATGTTTCTGTCATTGTTTGCTCCCCGAGTGGAGCGGCTGCTGCAGCAGCGCGCGGCTCCCGCTGCGCGGGACGCCTCCGGCGCGCTGCCGCTGCACCGCGCAGCCCTGGCTGGCAGCGCGGCGGCCACGGCTGCACTGGCCGCCGCGGCGCCCTCGCGGGTGGACGCACCCCACGAGCGCACGGGGGGCACCTCGGAGAAGGAAAGGGTACCGATGCCGCTGCCGCTCCGCTGAGATCCGGGCGTTGTACGTTTCGAGCGGTGCTCGTTGCACGCCGCGCGTTTTCGCCCAGTTTCGGCTCTTTGGGCCATCACGGGTCGATGCAGCTCGAAGAGTGGAAGAGAAAGAGGGGGTCTGGGGCTCTGGTCTTTTTCCGCGATGCTGCAGCCAGTTTTTCGCGTCTTCTGGTCTCGTGGTGATCTCCCCTCGTTATTCGCCTCTGGGGCCTCCCGGTGGGCCCTCGTCGCCTCGAGGTTTTGGTCAGAGCGCACCGCAGGAGAAGGCGGGTGAGTAGCGGTGTCGGTATCTTTGGGTTTCCCCAGGCACGGCGCTGCACTCGGCGGCCTACATTCGGGGGGCGCCAGCTGACCATCTCACCGGTCCTGGCCCACTACGGGCCCTGGGAGCCAGAGCAGGAGTGGCGCAGGCACCTCACATATAGAGAGCTCGCAGCTCGACCAGGGGCGCGCGAGAGGAAGGCGGTGGCCTGGCCAGTGAGGCGGAGACACTCGGGCGACGAGATCTGTACATATCCACTGCTCCCTGGCCGGGTCCAGCCTGGACCCGGGCGCTGTGTACAAGCCCCCATGGCCAAGCCAGGAGGGCGTGGCGTATGCGCCGCTGCTCGGTCCAGGATGGACCTGGCCAGGGAGCAGCGGTCTCGTCGAGACTTCGCTGCCCGAGTGTCTCCGACCCGAGGGCCCCGGGGCCCGGCTGGCCAGGATCGGCCGGGCGGTCTCGGTCGACGCCGCCCGCTGCGTGGGCCACGCGCCCGTGCTGGAGGTGCTGCTGGCGGCGGGGGCCTCGCCCTGCCGGCGCAACCGGGCCGGGGAGCGGCCGGTGGACACCTTCGTGGAGGAGGACGCGGACCAGGCACCGTCGGCCACGCGCAGAGGGGGGGGGGTAGGGGGAGGGGGGGGGGGCAGGCTTCTCAGAAGCACCCCTGCTTCTTAGAGGGCGCGGGCCTTGTCTGTAGACGTGAGGCCTGCGCTTTCTGAGAGGCAGAGGGGGGGCAGGGGGAGGAGGGGGGAAGGCGACTTCCCCAGGGTACCCCCCTTGCATCCTTGCCTCTTCGGTCATCCTCGGTCCATCTCCAGCCACTCGAGGGCCGGCCCCGCTCGAGGTGCCTCGGCATGGGCGTCTGAGTCCCTTGCAGCGTTGGTCAGCCACGCGCAGAGGGGGGTCGGGGGAGGGGGGAAGGCTTCTCAGAAGCACCCCTGCATCTGAGAAGGCGCGGGCCTTGTCTATGGATGTGAGCCTGGCGCCTTCTGAGAGGCAGGCTCCTTCTAAGAAGCGTGCCCCCCTCCTACCCCCCTTGTGCGCGCCGCCAACCGCGGCCGGGATGCCCGCCAGAGGAGGACGAGGTACTATCGATACCGCTGCCCTTGACTCGTTTCGTCTTTCGGAGCCTCCTGGGGGGAGATCCCCGTCGGCACCGCTGGATTCGCCTCGAGATCCTGGTCAGAACGCACCTCGGGAGAGGTCTGGGGAGCACAGTCGAAACCGATAGTTAGGACGAGCGATTTCCCAAGGGTACCCCCGTTGCAACCCTTGCCTCTTCGGTCATCCTCCGTCCATCCCGCATCCAGTGGGGAGACGCGCAGCGCCACGAGCACGAAGAGCTGGGGCCTGGGGGGCCAGCTTGCCCTGGGAGCTGTCCCTCACTGCTGTTCCCTCTTCGGGCGCGGTCCACACCCCGCGTGAACCTTCGCCGCACGGCGCAGCGCCGTGGCCCATTTTCGCGTCCGCGCGGTCAGTCGTGAGTCTTTGGCCTGTCACACGCCAGGAGCGCCTCGAGCTCCTGCTCCCAGTACCTCCCAGCCCAGCGTGGAGAAAAGCCTTTCGCGGCGCTCGTAGCCGTGGCTTCCAGCTGTTTGTTTGTTTGTTTGTTGCTTCCTCTCTCTCTCTCTCTCTTTCTCTCCCTCTCGCTCCGTCTCAAACGTCGGCAGCTCCCCTTCTGTCCGCAGGCTTCGAGTAGGGGATCGACTACAGAATTGATACACACCAACCATCCTGTGGTGTTGGGTCCTCATTCTGAAGAGACGGTCCCAGCGTTCCTCCTCCTCCTCGTCCTCCTCCTCCTCCTCCCTCATCTCTTGCCTCTGCCCTTCGTATGTCCAGCATTTCGGCACACCCCTCACACGTTTCGTGGCCCCATAGGGGGCTCCACCGAAGGTCCCAGTGGGACCGCCCGCATGCGTCAGCCACCACCCAACACAGCGTTTCGTGGCCCCATAGAGGGCTCCACCGACTGCCCAAGTGGCACCGCCCGCATGCGTCAGCCACCACCCAGTACAGCGTTTCGTGGCCCCATAGGGGGCTCCACCGAAGGTCCCAGTGGGACCGCCCGCATGCGTCAGCCACCACCCAGCATTGCGTTTCGTGGCCCCATAGGGGGCTCCACCGACTGCCCCAGTGGCACCGCCCGCATGCGCCAGCCACCACCCAGTACAGCGTTTCGTGGCCCCACAGGAAGCTCCACCGAAGGTCCCAGTGGGACCGCCCGCATGCGTCAGCCACCACCCAGCATTGCGTTTCGTGGCTCCGTATGGGGCTCCACCGAAGGCCCCAGTGGCACCGCCCGCATGCGCCAGCCACCACCCAGTATTCGTGGCCCCATAGGGAGCTCCACCGAAGGTCCCAGTGTGACCGCCCGCATGCGTCCGCCACTACCCAGTACATCGTTTCATGGTCCCATAGGGAGCTCCACCGACGGCCTGTGTGGCACTGCCCGCATGCGTCAGCCACCACCCAGTGCAGCGTTTCGTGGTCCCATAGGGAGCTCCACCGAAGGTCCCAGTGGTACCGCCCGCATGCGTCAGCCACTTCCCAGTACAGCGTTTCGTGGGTGGTCCCATAGGGAGCTCCACCGACGGCCCCAGTGGGACCGCCCGCATGCGTCAGCCACCACCCAGTACAGCGTTTCGTGGTCCCATAGTGAGTTCACCGAAGGTCCCAGTGGCACCGCCCGCATGCGCCAGCCACCACCCAGCATTGCGTTTTGTGGCCCCATGAGGGGGCTCCACCGAAGGTCCCAGTGGGACCGCCCGCATGCGTCAGCCACCACCCAGTACAGCGTTTCGTGGCCCCATAGGGAGTTCCACCGAAGGTCCCAGTGGCACCGCCCGCATGCGTCAGCCACCACCCAGTACAGCGTTTTGTGGCCCCATAGGGGGCTCCACCGACTGCCCCAGTGAGACCGCCCGCATGCGTCAGCCACCACCCAGTGCAGCGTTTCGTGGTCCCATAGGGAGCTCCACCGAAGGTCCCAGTGGTACCGCCCGCATGCGTCAGCCACTTCCCAGTACAGCGTTTCGTGGGTGGTCCCATAAGGGGGCTCCACCGAAGGTCCCAGTGGGACCGCCCGCATGCGTCAGCCACCACCCAACACAGCGTTTCGTGGCCCCATAGGGGGCTCCAACAACGGCCCCAGTGGCACCGCCCGCATGCGTCAGCCACCACCCAGTATTGCGTTATGTGGCCCCATAGGGGGCTCCACCGAAGGTCCCAGTGGGACCGGCAGCATGCGTCAGCCACCACCCAGCACAGCGTTTCGTGGCCCGTCGAAAAACCCCAGTCGCACCGCCCGCATGCGTCGCCCGCCCACCACCCAGTATTGCATTTCGCGGGGCACCGCCCGCATGCGTCAGCCACCACCCAACACAGCGTCTCGTGGCCCCGTAGGAAGCTCCAGTGGTCCGCCCGCATGCGACCCCCCACCCAGTGCAGCGTTTCGTGGCCCCGTAGGGAGCTCCACCGAAGGCCCCAGTGGCACCGCCCGCATGCGTCCCCCCCACCCAGTACAGCGTTTCGTGGCCCCACAGGGGGGCTCCACCGAAGCCCCCACTAGCACCGCCCGCATGCGTCGGCCACCACCCAGTACAGCGTTTCGTGATCCTGTAGGGAGCTCCACCGAAGGTCGCAGTGGCACCGCCCGCATGCGTCCCCCCCAACCACTACAGCGTTTCGTGGCCTCATCGGGAGCTCCAGCGAGGGGCACCGCCCGCATGCGTCCGCCACACCCAGTACAGTTTTTCGTGGCCCATACGGAGCTCCACCGAAGTGCCCAGTGGCACCGCCCGCATGCGTCTCCCCCACTCATTACGGCACGTCTCTCATGCGGTTCGTGACACCATAGGGAGTTCCGCCGAAAGCGGCACCCACAACGCGTTACTCACAATTGCATATGGTTGGGTCCCGCGTCTTTTTTGAAACATTCCACGAGGAAATCAATTCCGGGGTAACTCAATTCTCTAGTCGACCCCCTACTCGAAGCCTGTCCAGAGCGAGAGTGGAAGGAGTGCCAACAAAAAGTCCGCATGGTTAGATGGAGGGACCATTGTTCTTCAGATTGGCTCCACACGGCCAGGTGGGCGGGGGGCCCTGTCGCGATCGGGAATCTTCCCGAGGCCTCCTCCGGAGGTGTGCTGAGGTCTCCCGAGGCCCCGGGGTCGACGGAGCTCGGGGCTCCCGGAGGCTCCCCCCCAAAGGGCCAACCCACGTCGACCCTCTCGCGATCTTCCCTCCCAGGGCCCAGCGGCACCCGCAGCGACGGGAGGAGGGGACCTCGGCCGGCCGGGTCTTCCACCTGCCCCCCCGCTCCGCAGCACGTGCATTCGCAATTGTCGGCGCCGCGATGCCGCTGCTGCACAACCTTACACGATCCTCCCCGGCGAACTCTAGGCTCACCACCCACCAAACCATCCCAACCCAACCCGAAGGCTCAGATTTACCCTCGATTTCCAGTGGGGGGGGGGTCGGGAAACATCGAGAAAACACATGTGGAACCCTTACCCCCCCAACCCGAAATTCGGGTCTTTGGGTTGGGTTGGGGTGGTCTGGTAGGTAGTCATAGGCGAACTGACTCCCACCCCTCCCGTGGTGTTGGGCCCTCGTCTCGAACCAGCAGGGCCCCGCGTCCTCTCCCGGCCCTCCGGGGTCTCCTCCCCCTCCTCCCTCCTGCCTCTGCCCCGGCGCACCCCGGTCCCGCTCTTCGAGCCCCCATACGGGCTCCACAGAAGGCCCAAGGAAGCAGTCCGCATGCAGTCTCGTGCGCCCCTGCCACGCTGTTAGAGCTCCCTAGGGGCCCCACAGAAGGCCGACATGACAAAGTCCGAATGCAGTCGTGGGCTCATGTCGCTTGCCCCTGCCACGCTTTTCAAGCCCCGTAGGAGCTCCACAGAAGGCCGACATTGAGAAGTCCGCATGCAGTCGTGGGCTCATGCCGCTCGCCCCTGCCAAGCATTTCAAGCCCCATCCACAGAAGGCCGACAATGAAAAGTCCGTATGCCGTGGGCTCATGTCGCTTGCCCCTGCCTCGCTTTTCAAGCTCCATCGGTGCCCCACAGAAGGCCGAACATGAAAAAGTCCACGCGCAGTCGTGGGCTCATTTCGCTCGCCCCTGCCACGCTACTCGAGCCCCATAGGAGCGCCACAGAAGGCTAACATAACAAAGTCCGCATGCAGTCGTGGGCTCAGTTCATCATTTCGCTCGCCCTGACCACGCTCATTTCGCTGGCCCCTGCGGTTTTTCAGGCCCCATAGGGGGGCTCCACAGAATGCCCAGATGGCAAAGTTCGTATGCCTGACCATGCCCGTTTCGATCGCCCATGTCGTTCGTGGCCCCATCGGAAGTTCCCCCCTCCCGCGGCCTGCCTGCCTTGCGGTGTGCACTGACTGCACATGGTTGGGTCCTTCGCTGGGCTAAGTTTGAGCTCTGCGCAGCATCAGAGAGTTCAGCCCTTTGCCACAAGTTCCACGCAACAAGCCTGGGCCCACACGGGGCCGCCCCCCCCTGGACGACCGCGCGTCGCCCTGCCAGGTCGCCGCGCTGCTCCGGGAACCTCCGGTGGTCGACCAGGGCTCCAGGCACGAGGTCGTGCGGCTCCTGAGCCGCGCCTCGCGGGGCTGCGCGGCGGAACTCTGAGCCGGGCGCGGGGGCTCTCGGCCCCTGGCTTCAGAGCAGGAGCTGGTACCAATACTCACCACCCACCAAACCACCCCAACCCAACCCGAAGGCTCAGATTTACCCTCGATTTCTAGTGGGGGGGGGTCGGGGAACATAGAAAAAACACGCGTGGAACCCTTACCCCCCCCAACCCGAAATTCGGGTCTTCGGGTTGGGTTGGGGTGGGCTGGTAGGTAGTCAAATACCGCGAACACCCCTCGTTGTGGCCTTCTTTTGTCTCCTGGGAGGGCCCTCGTCGGTCAAGGGAGGTTTGCCCACCGCCGAAGCGTGGAGATCAGGGGCTGCGGGAGCGGGCGCGCCACGGAGCGCGCAAGTCGGGCCTGTCCCTCTGCAGGAGGAGGATTCAAGAATAGTTTAAAAATAGTCAGGGTACGATTTTTTGACCATTTGTGGGTATGAGTTGAATATGTTTTGGTTACGAAATCCGCCCATGCTCGACCTGATGCTATTCTCGCTCCGAATCGGGCCTCGCGGAGACCCTGAGATCCAGGCGTTGCCGTCGTATCACGCCGCGCGTTTTTTTTGCACGGGACCTGGCCCCCGGGGCCATCACAGAACGATCCGGCTCGAAGAGAGCCGCAGAAAGATTGGGTCCAGGTCCTCCTCCTCCTCCTCCTCCTCCTCCTCCTCCTCCTCCTCCTCCTCCATCTCCTCCTCTGAGCCCAGGGTGCTGACAGGAGTGGCCCTGGCCCAAGGTGCACCCAGCCTTCCCCGCCAGCTCGGGGCCTCCAGGCCCTCGCCTCGTGGGGGGGCCCTTCGGAAGCCACACGCCCTTTCTGTTCTGCATTTTTTGTCGTAGCGTCGGGTGTCAGAGGAGCCGGATCTCCGCGTTACCGTGCGCCGATGGGGGTGGTCGGGCGCTGCCAGAGGTGACCCTTGCCGAGGGGGCCGCGGCGTTCCCAAAGAGGCGCGTGTGGCTTCCAAAGGGCCCCCCCCCACGAGGCGAGGGCCCGGAGGCCCCGAGCCGGCGGGGAAGGCTGGGTGCACCTTGGGCCAGGGCCACTCCTGTCAGCACCCTGGGCTCAGAGGAGGAGATGGAGGAGGAGGAGGAGGAGGAGGAGGAGGAGGAGGAGGAGGAGGAGGAGGAGGAGGAGGAGGAGGAGGAGGAGGAGGAGGAGGAGGAGGAGGAGGAGGAGGAGGAGGAGGAGCAGTATCCATACCGCTACCCCTGGCTCGTTTTCCCCTTTTTGGGCCTCCGGGGGGCCCTCGTCGCCACGGCTGGATTCGCCTCGAGGTTCCGGGAGAGGTCCGGGGAGTAGCGGTATCGGTACGTTGTGGTATCCCCATTGGCGGGGAAAGCCAGGAGCATTTTGGGCCAGGACCACTTCTATCGACACCCTGGGTGAGGATGAAACTGAGCAGAAATGGCGCGTGATGACGGTGAGGTTGAGGATGAGGATGAGGCCGAGAGTGGGGGCGGCCAGGGTGAGAGTGAGGATGATGGTGGCGGCGAGGCTGGGATGGAGGACGCGGGTGAGGGTGAAGAATGGTGTGAATGAAGGGGTGGCGGAGACATTCAGAGAACGCAAGACCCTCGTTGAGGGTTGTCGGGAAGCACCGCAGAGTCATGTGGGCCGTGCTGGGGGTCGCCTTCGTGCCCTCCTGGGTTGCCTGTTGCTTTTGAAGCGTCCTGGGCCAATTGAGCGAGTGAAGAAAACGGGATCGTCTTCACCGACGCTGGCGCGTACGTTGTCCGCGTAAGAATGCGCGTCGGCGCCCTCGTCCCTCGTCTCCGCGCGGTGTGCCGCGCCGCGGCCCGCGTAAGCCGCGGCGTAAGGTTGCTATGACTTCTTGTGTGAGAGCCGTTTCTTTTCGTCGCTCAATTGGATCTCCAGGGCTCCCGCACAGCCGAGGTTGCCGAGCAACTTTGCGACCCCCCAGCCCTCGTTATGATCCAGCCTCCCTGTCACTTAGACGATGCCCGCCCTATTGGGGAAGCGTCTGGCGGATGTCACAGGCCTGGTGGCCGCGCAGGCGGATAACGGTGACGACGATGAAGAACGATAGCGCCGAGGAGTTGCTACACGGAGGTGCTATGTCGTGACGCTGTTCCGCTCCTTCTCCTCCCCTCTTCAAAATTGCGCTGAGCAATGTCATTTGTCATGGTGGCTCCTTGGAGCTGTTACTAGGGCCGAATATGCCCTGTCCCAACAACATGTGCCGTAGACCCGATCAGAAGCGCTTTTATCGCATAAACCCGTTCGAAAGGTTCTGCATTCGGACTCAAATCCAGGCTCAACTGCCCTCGAACTCTGCCAGCCGGGTCTGAAATTCACTCGAACGCCACAAACCAAGTTCCGCATGCCTTCGAATCTGTCGCCGCAAACCGAGTCTCATGATCCATCGGATGGAAAAATGATTCAATGGTATTACAGTTCGAGGGCGCTTCGAACGAGTCGTTTTTTTAGGGTGGGTGTTTGTGTTTCGATATGTAGGGGAGGTGTTTGTGTTTTGTCGGCTTTCTGTGTTTAATAGTGGACCCGTTTTGGAACGCAGCCATCCAGCGTTCGCGCCGAGGACCGCCGGACACCGCCGAAGACCGCGGGCAGCCGCCGAGGACCTCCAGAAACCTCCGAGGCCGTCAGGAGACCGCCGAAGACCGCTCGAGGCCGAGGGGTGGCAAGAGGGCCCACGCTCCGACGTGCGGCGCTCTCTCTTTCCCCCGGGGTGTCCCTGCCGTGGGGCAGAGGGCGGCAGGTGGCGCCTCGGAGCTGCACGGGGTCCCGGCCTCGGGGGGAAGGGAGCGCGGCACCGCCGCCGCCACCAGAGCAGAGGCGCCACCTCCTCCTCCTCCTCTCCTCCTCCTCCCTCCTCCTCCTCCTCCTCCTCCTCCTCCTCCTCCTCCTCCTCCCCCATCCTCCTCCTCCTCCTCCTCCTCCTCCTTCCTCCTCCTCCTCCTCCTCCTCCTCCTCCTCCTCCTCCTCCGGGTCGGCACTGCGGCGCCGGGCGGGGGACGCAGGCGAGGCAGCGTTGGCGACGCCGACGGCCACGTCTTGGCCGCTCGCGCGGGGAGGGGGGGGGGGCACACCGCCGCCCTCGCACGTGGTGGTGGTGGTGGTGGTGATGGTGTCGCTTTTCCTTCCTCCGACCCTGAGATCCGACGCCGTGAAAGAAGAGCGGAAGGGAGCCCGACCCCGTCTTGCCGCGGCGTTTTCTCCGCGGGATCGATCTGTGATGGCCCCGGGGCCCGACAGGCTGGGCGAAAACGCTCGACGTGACAAGAGTGGCAACGCCCAGATCTCAGCGCTTTCCCGCGTTCCCAGGGGGCCTCTCCGTAAGTTGGAGGTCGGCGTTCGACTCATACCCCTGCCCCTGCTGCGGCCTCCAACCGTGGCCGCTGGGGGGGCACGGACACAGAGCTCAGGCTTGGCCTCCGGAGGCCAGAGGTTCCTCCACGACCCCCACCTGACCCCATCGTGGAGTTCCGGCGTCAGCAGGGGTCGGGACAAAACGTCGGCCGCCTGGCCCCCCGTGCCCGTCAGTCGGCCACGCGCAGGATGGGGCCAATGGGGGAAAGGGGGGCGGGCTTCTCAGAAGCCCCCCCTGCTTCTTTGCAGGCGTGGGCCTCGTCTGTGGATGCAGGGCCAGCGCCTTCCAAGAATCGGCCTCCTTCGAAGAAGTCTTCCCCAAGCCTTTTCCCCTTCCCCGGCCCCCTTGTGCGCGCCGGCAATGCCTCTTCGGCCATCTTCGGTCTATCCTCAACCACTTTCGATGGCCAGCCCCGCTCGAAGGGCCTCGGCATGGGCGTCCTGGGTCTTTGCATCCTTACCGCGCATCCTCACTACAGGGGGTTTGGATTAGTAGGTCGACCCTGCCAGATCAAGGTTACCCTCGTGTCCTGTGTCTCGCGACCAATGACTCCTACGTTCCTGTGGCAATGTGGCCCTCGGAAGGGTCTTGTGTCCGCTCGCGTGTCCTCTCCAGTCAAGTCCGACTGTATCAGTTCTGACTGTGTGGACAAAACGTCGATCCCCTACGGCTCCCCCGTGCCCGTCAGGCAACCTCCTCCGGCGAGGGGGAGGTCGCGCTCGGCTGTCGCGGCTTCGTGGCCGAGCCGCAGGCGGGTCGCGCGGCCAGCTCCCCGCTTTCGAGCGCCGCCGCCGACCCAGGGGGGGGGAGCTGCACGATGCACTCGCCGTGACTTGGGCGGGTGGCAGCGGGGGGTGAAGAGAAGGGCCCTCAAGGGAAGAAGAGGGGCGAAGACAGCAGGTGAAGAAAGGGGCCGTAAAGGGAAGAGAAGGGCCCTCAAGGGAAGAACAGATGTGAAGACTAGAGGCCCACATGGGGGGGGGGTGAAGAAAAGGGCCCCACAGGGACCCTGCGGTGCCCCTTGGGGTCCCTTTGGGGCCCCGGCTGGCTCTCAGCAGGCCCTTTTCGGGTCCTCTGCTTCACCCGCCATTCCGCCCCCCCCCCTCCTATCGGGACGGACGAGAGGGGGAGATTGGGAAAGGGGGGGTTGCGAAATTTGCTGCATGCCGCTGGTTTCGGCCCCACCGAGGGGCCCATGCCTCGATGCATGGCCGCCTCCGGCGCCGGGAGGCGCCGGGAAAATCGGCCACGCGAGCTGAGTCTCAACCCCCCCCCTTTGCTATCCCCCCCTTTCGCCCGGCCCGAGAAGAACAGAAAACGAAATAAGCATAAATGTCCGGAGGTTCCGCGCGGACTTCTTGGATTTGCGTCGGGCCCCGCTGGCGGCGCCCCGGGCGCCGCCCCATGGCGCGCCCCGCGCGCCAGGCGGGGGAACTCCGCGCGTCCGCCTTCGGGCCGGGCGAAAGGGGCGCCTCCTCGTCAAGCGGCCTGACCAGTGCAGGCTGCAATTTGGCATCGTTTGGTATCTCTTGGAAGCGAGGGTGGTCAAAAGCGAGGTAGGTTTGTTTGCCCCCCAATCCCCCCCCTTTCGCCCGGCCCGAAGGCCCCCCCCCC